AGAGTTGGAAGGACCTGGGGAGGTTATCTAACCTAACCCCCTGCTTAAAGCAGTACCAGCCCCAACAAGATCATTCAAGTCAGGGCTTTGTTGCAGTAGGTCTTTAAAAACCACCAAGGATGGAGTTTCTAGCACCTCTCTAAGTAACCTATTCCAGTGCCTCATCACCATCCTAGTGAGAGAGTTTGTTTTTTTTTCCTAATATCCAATCTAAACTTCCTTTGCTGCAAATTGAGACCACTGCTTCTTGTTCTGTCATCTGCCACCACTGAAAACAGTGTAGCTCCATCCTCTTTGGAACCCCCCTTCAGGGAGTTAAAGGCTGCTCTCAAATCCCCCCTCACTCTTCTCTTCTCCAGACTAAATAAATCCAGTTCCCTCAGCCTCTCATCAGAAGTCATGTGCCCCAGCCCTCTAACCATTTTTGTTGCCCTCCACTGGTCTCTCTCCAACTTGTCCACATCCTTTCTGTAGTGGGGGGCCCAAAACTGGACACAGTGCTCCACATGTGGCCTTTCCAATGCAGAATAAAGGGGAATAATTATTTCCTTTGTTCTACTGCCAATGCTCCTACTAATGCAGCCCAGTATGTTGTTAGCCTTCTTGGCAACAGGGGCACACTGTTGACTCATATTCAGCTTGTTGTCCACTATAATCCCCAATTCCTTTTCTGCAGAGCTGCTGCTTAGTCAGTTGGTCCCAAACCTGTAGTGCTGCATGGGATTCTTCCATCCTGAATGAGGGAATTTGAACTTGTCCTTGTTGAAGCTCATGAGATTTCTTTTAGCCCAATCCTCTTATTTTTCTACGTCACTCTGAATCCTAGCCCTACCCTCCAGTGTATCTACTACATCCCCCAGATTGGTATCATCTGAGAACTTGCTGAGGCTGCATCCCATCCTGCAGATCATTAATGAAAATATTGGACAAAAACCAGCCCCAGGATCGACCCCTGGGCCAGTCCACTTGGGATCAGCTGCCAACTAGACCTCAACCCATTGATTACTACACATTAAGCCCAATGATCCAGCCAGTTTTCTATCCACCTTACAGTCCATTCATCCAACCCATACTTCTGTAACTTGCTTGCAAGAATGATGCAGGAGACAGTTTCAAAAGCCTGGCTAAAATTAAGATATATCACATCCACTGCTTTCCCATCATCCACAGAGCCAGTCATCTCATCATAGAAGGCAATCAGGCATGATTTGCCCTTAGTGAATCCATGCTGACTGATCCTGATCACTGTCTTCTTCTCCAAGTGCTTAGAAATGGATTCCTCGAGGACCTGCTTCATGATTTTTCTAGGGACTGATGTGAGGCTGACTGGTGTGTAGTTCCCTGGATCCTTCTTCTTTCCTTTCTTAAAGATGGTCACTATATTTGCCCTTTTCCAATCATCTGGGACCTTCCCTGATTGCCACATTTTTTTAAAGATAATGGCCAGCGGCTCTGCAATCACATCAGCCAACTCCCTCAGCACCCTCAGATGCATTGCATTCAGCCCCAGGGACTTGTACACGTCCAGCTTTTCTAAATAGTCCCAACCTGTTCTTTCACCACTGTTGGCTGCTCACGTTCCCCCCAGCCTGTGCTGCCTAGCGCAGTAGTCTGGGAGCTGACCTTGCCTGTGAAGACTGAGGTAAAAAATAGTTTGAATCAAATGCCAGAACCAACTACTTTTGACCTTAATAAGCTTGCTTGGATATACAACTTCACACAGTCCCAGATACGTGGGTCTTATATTCACTTTAGTAGAGTTGTAAATAGGACTAAGTCAATAATTGATCATGCAGTTAGGCTATTGAACTAGAAATTCAAGGGGGAAAAACAAAACAAAACAAAACACTGATTCAAATCAAACTGCATTTGACTTTTTCCTGGTTTTCTTGCCAAAATATAACATCAAACCAGTTTTTACTGAACACAAAACATTTTATTTGACCTGACACAAAATGCTCTGTTAAAACGGGATATCCCCAGCCATATTCTCATCACTGTCACCTCCTCCTCCATCTTGCCTACTAGTGATAAAGCAGTCAGGAACCTCTGTGATGGTCATAGCATATGACCACAGATTATAATGGGGTAGAAAAGAGTCAAGCAGAGCTATTATTTATTTATTTTCCTTCCAAAGTGTGTTCTACAGACATCTTAAGAGAGCCATTCTTCAGCTTGTTTCAGTGGGACTAATTTTTTTTTGATTGAAAATCTGAGATACAATGTCTAGCAATAAAGATCTAAAGGGACCATCTAAATGTTTGGCTATTGACTTCAGAGAAGGATTTTTACTCTAAGCAATATAATACTTTACAATAAAATAATAATTTTATTCTAGGTAGTAATCCTACTGGGCTTATGTTTCAATAAATGAAAGGAAAAAATAGTGATCATCTAATGAAGCTCCATTTGTCATTAGCTTTATTGACTGCAACACAAAGCAAATCTGATGGCTCTCACCCAACTCTTTTCACTTTGGACGTCTCATCCAGAAAAGAATAATGTATTTTTGGATACTTTCAAGCTTATTATTATAATTGTTGGAATTGCATGAGAAGGCTTCCCTTTAAAAAACATGTGGTATCCATGAGATTTCATTAGAAACTCCCTGCATGTGTATGGGATCATTAATTCTGTTCACATTAGCCAAGATTATGAAAACTAGGGGCATCTTTATACATGCTCTGGGATGTTGGGGGTGGGGGGAGGTATCACATGTACTCAGTGTCTTATCTCACAAGCTTTAGTTAAAGCACCCTGGCCACCATCTTGAAGCATGGGGACACTGAATACACATGATGCAGAGGCTGCTGGAGCTTGTTAATTAGCACGCTCCATCAAACTCAATTAATCGAGTCTGTTCCAACATGTGCTAATTAGCATCTGTTGGAGCCAGACATCTGGCATGTGTATAGGTGCCCCAGATCCCTAAATTTACACTCCTTAAGTGCTAATCCTGTGGTGTGGATTAGGAGGATAGGAAGAAAAGATGGGTTTTTGCTTCCCTTATTTCTGGGTCTCAAAGGACTGTGCTTAGTACACAGAATGTGAGTAAGGGATGCAGTCTTGTCTCACTACAGACTAAACAGGTTAAATTAAGATAGACAGACAAAATGCAATAATAACCAAGTAAGACATCTACAACAAGCACTGATGTTCACAATCATTTGAAAGTGATTTAAGGGTTCCTATAAAAATCAAAATGCTGCTTTTAGCTACAAGGGCCCTGAACTGCTCAAAATTTGTTCCTCTGCCTATTCTCTCACCTTGCACAGGCATCCACGTATCAGAAGCCATCTGTTTTTGTGGATAAACTCACACCTAAATTCAGATGACAGTATTTTTTTCAAGTATTGTGATATCTCCCTCTTTCTGTCCAGTGTGTGGAGATGGTTTTTGTGAAGATGATGAAGGCTGTTCGACATGTCCAGCTGACTGTGGAGAATGCCCGCTGACAACTGGTGCCAGAATAGCAATTGCCTTACCAATATGTTTAGTCTGTGCTGGCTTCATACTGACAATAATGGTGAGTGTCCTTTCTCTTGTTTTATTTCCATTGTGGCTTGGTCATTATTTTATTATTTACAGAAAAGTTCTTTTGGAAGTAGCAGTTCTCTAGAATCCTTTGAGGAAAAGTTGTTTCTAAATTCAGAGGCTAGTTCTACACTAACCCTGGCAAGAGTTATGGCAATCCTACACTGCTAGAGAGTGTCTGCCAGTTGGGAACTCCATAATGATCCTGACACACCGGACACCAACTGGGGACTCCATCATGCCAAGGTAATTCCCATCTAAGAAAATCCATTTTGTTTCCAAATGCTTTGCACTGACAGAGCACTATTAAGCAGGATGCAGTTGGGGAGAAAATCTAGCCCTCATGGTAAGATTTGGCCCCTAGCAAGGGAACAAGTCACCAGGCAAAAGTTTACATGAAGAGTAGTCTAAGGATTTGTATTAGATGACTTGGCATTACTTCTTGGCTTGTGGTCTTGTCACAAGTTTAATAGGTAATTGCAGAAGTTACATTCTGACTACTCTCTTTGTCACCAGTTTCAGAGAAATAAAAAGTCCTTCTGCCCTAAAAATATATACAGGAACTGCTAATATTCTGCACAATTCCATACCAAAAAGGCCTTTATTTCAGTGGGCATAGTGAAATGGCCCCAAGGACTATGTATACAGATAGATAGATATACAGATTTATTATTTACAGGGCACAGAGATTTGTGAAGGACTTCACAGGCCAAAGAGACATCCATGCCCCTTAAGCATTTTGTCATCTTATATTGGATGCTAGACAACGTACGAGGATAAGAAGAAGCATGAAGGGTCTGACCTGAGAGAGGATAAGAAATACTAAATTAGGTCATTGTCTGTTACTTAATTAAAGGCTTGGCACAACATAATTTCATGATTCAGTTCAAAATATTGGGTTTTGTTTAGTAGTTATTAATTATTATAATGGCAAATTCACTTACTGAGGGAAGGCAGAAAGAAGCATTTATATAGAGACCTGGACAGATCAATATAGGAAAAGTGATCCTTTGGAATGGAAAGTTCTATGTTGATACAAGATAATGTATTGTTGTTACTTATTATTTTACAGTATTACTGGAGAATGTATCCTCCATGTTTACATTTACTTCTGTATCTGAAAATACATAAATTTATTTCTGAATGTTACAGAAAGATGTTGCTGGGAGAATGTTTGCAGATGTTTAGTCACTGTATTGATTGTATCCATAACAAAAGATTTATTTGGCTTTAACATATAAATCCATAAATGGATTGGCTCTTTGATATCTCACTTCTTTCCTCATCTCACACTGCAGCTCTGAAGACCATCTGGAGTGTTCAAACTAACACACTCCCCAGGGTTAACTGAAAGGGAGTGGAGAAAGCAGGCTCTTCCTCAGGGAAAGATGGATTGTTTTATGGTTAAGGCACTATGGTGATACCCAGAGAATTAGGATTTAGTTCCTGATTCTTTTGCATATTTCTTGTGTGACTTTGGGACTTAATATAAAAATCTCTGGCCTTTAATCTCCTGGTGTCTCAGTTTCTTATTGATAGTATGGGAATCAAAATCTGTACCTACTTCACAAAGCTGTTTTCCAGATAAATCAATAGCAGCCTTCCAGGGAGACACTCAGACAATAGAGTTGTGGGGGGACTATAATTAGGTATGTGGAATCAGCTTCCTACTGTAGTTCACCACAAGTCCACTTCCTTAACCCTTCAGGTCGCAGCGTAATGCTCATTTGTTCCCATGGGCATTTTTTTCCAGGATAAGAATAACAATGTTGGTAGGGGTGTTGAGTGACTCTGAATGAGAACTGAAGAAGTATCACCGGCTTTTGGCTGTGTTCAAGGTCTGTGGTAGGCACATACATATTTTATTTTTCCCACAAGAATACAGCATAATTCACATAAATAATATTATGGTTATCAATTACATGATTGTTAAACTTCATGGCAGTTTGTTTTAACAAATTTATTAACATAAGACAGGCCTGCTGCTGTTCTCCTTATCTGGATAAAATTTTCATCCCAGAAAGTGAGAGAGTCTGATTAGAGTGCAGAACTGGGCCCTAGAACTACCACAATTAGACAAGCATTCTGAAATTTCCTAAGCATGATCCCCAGGTCATGGAAGTTGGCACTATTTAAGTCCAGAGCTGGCTCTGTATAGTGCTTCAAAGTTGGTTTGTTACAAAAATATTTTTTTATTGGGGGTCTTTCAACCTAATGCAGATGATAACATTTTACCCTCCATCCTCTACATCTTGACAAGACAAGGTGCAGCTTGATCATTGTCTGCTATGTCAGATTTCAGAAGATAATTTTAAAATTATCATTAAACTGATTTGGGATAAAATCAAATCCTTATCTCATCCATGCATATTTTGGCTACAGGAGACTCAGAATGAGCCTAATTTACCTCCTACAACTACTTCTTGATGATGCTTTTGTAGGGACACATGAATAGTATTGCTTTTCCCATCTTATACTGCTTCATTTCCTTAGCTTCGGTGTACAAGGTCATTCATATATGTTTGTAGGTTAGCCCATGTATAAGCTTGTTTTTTAAAAGATTTTGAGGCCACTTTTACTCAGTTTTTCATATACAGTAACAGATTGCGCATCCAGTGAGCCAATCTTCCATATACCAGGATGCCACTGACTTCAGAAGGTATTGGATCAGCTCTACAGTCTCTTGTGATCAGTTTATTTTTTTGATCATACTCTTGCATGGTAAAATGTAATTCTCCTTTTTCTGTAATCATCAGTCACCCAATCCAGAGTCCTTTGAAATTAATGGAAATACTCCTGTTAGCCTCACTGAGCTCTGGATGCGATCTGGCCCTCTATTCTCCCCAAATACTGTTAGTTCTCTCATTATGTCACAAGGAATTTTGTATTACTTTGGCTTTTGTCACTTGCCATCTTTTAGTAACTCATTTCAGCAGAACAAAACCTAGAATATGATATTCAGATGGTTTGCAAAAAATGCTGATCTCTACCTGGTATATAAATTGCCTTGTGATGATTGGATCAAAAGAAATCCCATGAGGTTTAATAAGGACAAGTGCAAAATCCTGCACTTGGGACAGAACAATCCCATGCACTGGTACAGGCTTGGGGCTGCCTGGCAAAGCAGCAGTGCTGCAGAAAAGGACCTGGGGGTTACAATGGACAATAAGCTGAATATCAGCCAACAGTGTGCCCTTGTTACCAAGCAAGTTAACAGCATACTGGGCTGCATTAGTAGAAGGGTTGCCAGCAAATTGAGGAAAGTGATTCTTCCCTTCTTCCCTTCTTCCCTTCTGTTCAGCACTGGTGAGGCCACATCTGGAGTACTGTGTCCAGTTTTGGAACCGCATTACAGAAAGGATGTAGACAACTTGGAAAGAGTCCAGCAGAAGGCAGCAAAAATGGTTAGGGGGCTGAGGCATATGACTTCTGAGGAGAGGCTGAGGGAACTAGATTTATTAAGTCTGGAGAAGACAAGACTGGGAGGGCATTTAAGAGTAGCTTTAAACTCCCTGAAGGAAAGTTCCAGCAAGGATGGTGCTAGACTGTTCTGAGAGGTGGCAGAACAAGGAATAATGGTCTCAAGTTGCAGCGGGGTAAGTCAAGGTTAGATATTAGGAAGAACTTTCTCACTAGGAGGGTAGTAAAGCAGTAGAACAAGTTATATGGAAAGGTTGTGGAATCTCCATCCTTTGAGGGTTTTAAGACCCAACTAGACAAAGCCTTGGCTGGGATTCATAGATTCATAGATTAAGGGTCGGAAGGGACCTAGTAGATCTTCTAGCCCGACCCCCCGCCAGGGCGGGAGAACAACAAAAAACCCCAAAAAGAGAAACGGGACTCAAACGAGTCCAGCCAGGTAGGCATCCAGCCTCTTCTTAAAGACCCCCAGGGTAGGGGCCAGCACCACTTCCCTTGGAAGTTGGTTCCAGCTCCTAGCCGCCCTAACCGTGAAGTAGTTTTTGCGGATGTCCAATCTATACCTCCTCTCCATCAGCTTGTGCCCATTACTCCTTGTTATGCCAGCGGGCGCTAGGGGAAACAGCGTCTCCCCCAAACCCTTCTGGTCCCCCCTAGTGAGTCTATAGACAGTCACCAGGTCCCCCCTTAGCCTTCTCTTGTGGAGGCTGAATAGGTTCAGGTCCCGCAGTCTCTCACTGTAGGGTCTGCCCTGTTGTCCCCGGATCATGCGGGTGGCCCTCCTCTGGACCCTCTCCATATTGTCCACATCCCTCTTGAAATGGGGCGCACAGAACTGGACACAATACTCCAGCTGTGGCCTGACCAGCGTCGCGTAGAGGGGGAGGATCACCTCCTTGGCTCTACTCGAGATGCACCTGTGGATGCACGACAAGGTCCGGTTAGCCCTGCCAACCATGACCTCGCATTGTCGGCCCATGTTCATCTTGGAGTCAATAATGACTCCAAGATCCCTTTCTGCCTCCGTGCTCTCGAGTAAGGAGTTCCCCATTGTATAAGTGTGCTGCTGGTTCCTACTGCCCAAGTGCAGCACCCTGCACTTGTCCGTGTTAAAACGCATCCTGTTCCTGTTAGCCCACCCCTGTAACCTATCCAGATCCCTCTGCAATCTCTCCCTCCCTGCTAGCGTGCTCACCTCCCCCCAGATTTTGGTGTCATCAGCGAATTTAAACAGGTTACTTTCCACCCCATCATCCAGATCGCTGATGAAGAAATTGAACAGCGCAGGCCCCAGGACCGAGCCCTGGGGGACTCCGCTACCCACCTCCCCCCAGGTTGAATATGACCCATCCACCACTACCCTCTGAGTGCGACCCCTCAGCCAATCTGCAATCCCAACTGGGATCATCTAGTTGGGGATGGTTCTGCCTTGAGCAGGAGATGAGGTCCTGTCCAACCCTAGTTTTCTATTTTTTTAATTTCATCTGCATAATTAATCAGCTATAGAGAATGTGTACTTATACTATTTGTAATTACGGAATTTGAAAGCTTTATTGGACCGTGTAACAGGGTGTCATCCCCAGATGCACTGGCACACACCTAGAGCTACCCCCCGGAGTCCGTTCTTTTTATATTTTGAATATGTTTCCCTTTCACTCACCTGCCACATCTTGGTGTTTCTTTGGTTTTTAAAAGGGAGGCTGCCCCAGGGCTTCCCAGACAGGGTCTTTGCTCTCACCTCTATAAATGATGAGCTCCTGCCTTAAGGGCTAATTGCATAACTCTAACCTCCCCTTATCATGCCCCATGCCTTGTAGGTGTTATCTGTACAATGTCCCTTTGTTGGGGCCAAGGCCTTGGAGGCCTTGGCCTCTTCACTCTAGCTAGGCCTACCAGCCTAGGCCACTGGTTAGGACCCAGCTTAGAGGCACTAGCTTCATTCAATCTGCTCTGGGCCCCTGGCCCTGTCTAGCTGTGCCCGCAATAGTGCCAGGCTCTCTGGCTCCTGTAGCTGCACCCCCGTGGGTGCTGATGAGGCCTCCACATCCCCTACAGCCTCAGCCACAAACCACTGGATTAAACTATAACATGAATAGGAAGCCGCTGGGCTATAACAAAGCAGAGTTAACGTAGGCAGTTAGCCTTCTTACCCATGGGCTCCACAATTCTGAGTCCCTACTGCCCGTGGCTCTCACTTTTAGAGTTGCTGCAGGTTTGCTTGGAGCCTTCTAGAGTCCACCCTCTGTCTCAGTCTGGACTCCTCTAGCTAGCTCAGACCAGGGTTTATATAATTCTGGCCTGGACACTTTCACAGTCACCTGACAGCTCCCAGTCAGCTGACTGGCCTGCAAGGCTTAGCCTTTAACCCTTGCTCTGCTGGCAAGCTTTGCTCTGAAGACTCAAGTCTTAAAAGCCTTTACTTCCTAGTAACAGGGCTAGAGTTCCCTGGTACAGACCTAAATCTTATTTACAAAGCAGTGACTATGTCCACTCTAGTGTTTCATATGATAGAGAACTTGATGTGACAATGTACCCTCTAAGATGCTGATCTAGATCCCAAATTTGATTATGTGAAAAATATCACTGGTTGTATTGATGAAATATATATTACTGGCATTTTACATGACCTACAATCTTTCTAAGATAGGAGGTCATATGCACCCCTAGCTGACTTCAGAGCTTAGGCTAAGTGTAGTACAAATGGTTGGAAATTGATAGATAATATTATTATAAATGTATTCAGTGGTGGATCCAGGGGGAGGTGCACTGCTGCAATTGCAGCTCCCTTTGCTTCTCGGTCTACCCAAAGTTTAAAACCAACTACCTCGCAGCAGCAGCAGCAGCAGCAGCAGCAGCAGCAGCAGCATTTCTATTCAGACAATGGTTAGAGACTCAGTTGATTTCCTGGCTCATTATAATCTACATAATTCCTCCTTAACAACCCTCCCTTCTTTTTTAAATGACCGTGATGTTCCACTAATCAAAAGCTATTCTTTTTGGCAATTCTGCTGTCTGCTAGCTGCTTCTAGGATGTAGCTCCTATTTAACTGTGTTGGAGACTGTTTTTAACTCTGCCTAAAAACATTAACTCAGGTAAACATTATTTCTGATGTGGAATAACTTTCAATGAAGCACTGGATGCACTGCCAAGATGCTCAAGAAGACTAGGCTTTGTTTTATGAATCTGAAAAAGAGATGTACATTTAACTCTAATGACTACAGGACTAATGAAATGGTATTTTGATTATTTTTTTGCCTAGTTTGTTGTGTTTTTAATACATAATAATACACATTCCAATAAAATTATATTTGTTTTTGCTTCAGTGGTAAATGGAATAAGTGCCTAGCATATTAGTAAAGAAAAGTATGTGTTGTGTTTTTTGGGATGATGTACCACATCAGCTGCACCCCACTTTTCAAAATCCTAAATCCTCCCGTTAATTTATCATGCCATATTGTTTAGAACTACTGATGTTTGTATTTAAGTGTTGGATCCTGACTTGTTACTGCTCAGAGTTATCTGATGTGTTCAAGTATCGGTGGATTTTATACTTTAAAATATCTATATATCTAATGATTTTTGGCTATGTTCATTTCTGGAGGGACTCCACTGAAACCAGTGGAGTTACCCCCCTTTTCCCCCTCACCCCCCCCAGCCAAGAAATGAATTTGGCCTGTTATGTCTTCTGTAGTGGTTTCAATATCAGAAGCAAAAGATGTTTTGGGATGAAAGCTGGATTATAGACTTCAGCCACATCAGACAAGGTTTGTAAATACTGTTTTTTTGGCATTCTTAGCAGTGTTACTTTGTTTTATAAGTGAATCAAATGCATAAATGTGTCTGCGTGCCAGATGGATGGATTATATGACTTGAAAGACAAGCTCTGATTAAAGAAGTGTAAATTCCAAGGAAGGGAAATATGTTAAAGTTTCTTACACTAAGGGGATGAAATAAAAGAAGAGAATAATTAGATTGACTATCAAAAAAAAAACCTTTATGACATGGATCTGTCATGCAGTGAAATAATGATCTGCTGGAAGTAGATGGAAAGTCCATCACACCTGCTCATTTAAAACAAATCTCAACAGAATATTAGTAAGGACTCAACAGAGGACATCTTGTATCTATGCTGGTAATGTCAGTCACTGAGGGCCGATCATTTTGAGAGCAGGGAAACTGACTTATGGAAATGCCTGTATGGTGCAATACTGTGTAGGGTATAGATAGCTGAGCTAGCTTTATATTGTAGTCTAGTTAAAATAGCATGGTCCGCTGCTTGGTCTAGGAGGATCTAATGAGGCTAGTCTGTTTCTCCTGAGCTAGTGTAAGTATCTCTGTGTGGCACAGCATTACCCCAATTGCTGAGATTAGTGGGAAAGGTCACTAATTTATGGCTTTGAGCCATAATAAATTCAGGGGCTTGATGTTACATTTTCTTTAATATTCAGATCCTCAGTTAAGCAGTTCTACTACAACTATACACAAGACCAGACTCTGGTGTGAACAGCAGCAAAGTTTCCTCTGTGTGTGTATGATTTAAATGTGCCTGAAAGTCACATGTGTCTCAATGACCATTTACTGTTTCAATTTAGATCGCATGGTACGGACTGCAATGGGTAGCATCCTTAGTGTGCCCCATGCACCCAGTGAATCCAATGCCAGCTGTATCACTGCACTGAGCTCCTGCACAGCAGCTGTCAGCACCTCCAGGAAGCAGTACTTCACACAGACCGGAATATAGTAGGCTTAGCTCACAATCATTCTTCTGTGTTATTCTCTCTACTATAGCTACACCTGGACAAGAAGGCTGTCACTCCTTGCCATATTGCCATCTGCAAGTAATACAATGGCTTATTCTCCATCCCCTAACCTATTCTGATAACAGTCTTCAAATGCCTGAAGGATGATTATGGAGAAGATGGAGACAGGCTTTTCTCTGCATTAGTAGGGAACAGGACTAGGAGCAATGGCCTCAAGCTGAAACAGAGGAAATTTAGACTGAAGATTAGGAGGAACTTTCTGACTAGGGTGGTGGTCAAGCATTGAAACATGCTCCCTAGAGAAAGTGTGGAATTTCCATCCAGAAAACTTACAAGAGCAAGTTGGACAGAAGCCTGGCTGGGATGGTTTAGTCAGAGATGACCTTGCCTTGAGCAGGGGCTGGAGTAGATGACCTTGTGAGGTTCCTTCCAGCCCTACTTTCCTATGATCTTGTATGATAACATGAGCTTCCTACCATGCTCTGCATGAGCAATTTTCCCATACCCACTCCAGTGACTACTATTTTTGGTTGTCCCCCTTTTCTTTTCTTGATGAGATTTTTAATTGTTTACAAATGTTCTCAGGTGCCTGTACATGTGATGGGGTTTTAATCCCTAAGGTTTCATTTTGTGCCCCCTAAATCAAAACAGTGGGGTGTAGAATAAAACCCTGAGGACTAATTGTTTCAATTTTTCCATCATGTTATCATGAGGGGACCCGATCCTTTTTTTTTTTTTTTTTTTTTTGTAGGAGCTGGAGCCTGTCCCCAGCTGAGGTGTGAGCTGCTTGCAGGCAAAGTGGCCCCTGAGCTACTAGGGGCCCTGTCCTTCCCTCTGCAGCAGTGATGCCCCCCCAGGGTGCCTGGGTGGGTTGCTAGTAGGCCAGGTGTTGCCCCAGCTCAGAGGCAGTGCCTGGCTGGATCCAACTCTTCCCCAAGCCTGCTGGGGCTTCCAGCACCTTGTGCACTTTTCCCACTGCCTTCCCACCACCTGGGATTGCCTGGGAATAAGCTAGCTTGCCTCTGGGGCAGCAGCCAGGTGACTGGGTGTGCTGGAGGCCAGAGAAGGCAGCAAGGACAGTCCCCAGGGTGCTGGAAGCCGGGAGGGGAAGCTCAGGCTTGGCAGGCTTCCAGCGCCCTGTGCATCGTCCCTGCTGCTTTCTCCAGATGCCAAGAAAGCCAGCCCATTCCCAGGTGGTCCCAGGTGGCAGGGACAATGCATGGGGCACTGGAAGCCCCAGAAGGCTCAGGGAAGAATTGCATCAGGCCAGGAAGAGAAGCAGAGAGGGGCCCAATCCTTTTGTTTGGCAGAGCCTGCCTGCCTGTCCTGTGGCCAGGGGGCAAGCTGACAGCAGCATCGTTGCAATTTGCAGAGTTGTAAACTAAACTACATCCAGGTGTAGTTTAGTTTGCAACAATGCAAAGTCATTAATAACCCCTCAAAAGTCTTGCACATCCACACTGTGATGCCATTAAGCCGCACAAAGTGATATTTTCATCATGTGTACATGTTAATGGTGTCACACGTACAAGCGCCTTTCAATACCTCAGTGTGTTTAAACCTAAGTCTCTACTGCAGGTCCATCTGTAATATTTAAGTAGAAGCCAGTTAGGGTCTTAGAACAAAGGAATGACATGCTATACTATGTTGTTGTTATCTATAAACTGGATCCTTAAACCAGTTTGCAGGACTGGGAATTGAAGACAGTATTAACCACTAGGTCACCAGTTGATCTTGGTCATGGTATACTCATACAAAACATCTCAGGGCAGGGCAGCTACTTCCAATAGTTTGATGGACAAGGACCCCACTTCTCCTGGCCCCTCTCACATCCCAGGGAAAATGCTGCCCAGAACATCCAGAAGCCAGCTATCTCAGTAGGGTAGACCACACAGCTCTGAGCTTCCTTGGCTAAACTGTTTCAGTTACCCAGGCTAGCTTACTTAAAGCTAACATATTTATCTTTACACTACACTGCAATTTGCACTGTAGAAAATCATGCTGAGTCCTATGGAAGATGAGAGGAGAATTTGGAGTGACAACCATAAAAGGCAGCCCTGCTTACATTAGCTATTCTTCTAGCAAACTGCATTAGAAGCTGCTGAAGAGGAGTGAGGGAAAGTGGAGTAAGGAGCTAATCACCATTGTGTCCCACCTGCTGACTAGGGGAATACCATTTTTCCTGGTCCCACTGCTCCTTTTTTCTGCCTCACACCTCTCCAGTCTGCTCTATGCTAGTCTAGTGACCCCTATAGAAATGGGAAGAATTTACCTCTTGGGTTAGGAAACACAAATATATAGAGAGAAACTGGCATGAGCTTCAAAATGTGTCATTTTCTGCAGATTTTTATTTCAAACATCCCCAAATTCCACAGTGAATCACTGTGGGATTACAGCATTTACAAAAACATCTTGGTCTTGTTGCAGTGATGGAAGGACAGTCGCCATCAAGAAAATAATGAAAAAGACTTTCACTCTGTCCAAATCCATACGGAAGGAAGTAAAGCAAGTGAGGTAAACAATGAAATGGAATACAGGTTGCTATGAGAGCACCAGTAGGAGGATGTGGTGGCAGATCAGTTAAGACATTTGAGTCTTGCTCCAGGCTTATTCCAAAAGATGACCCACTCAGTTTAGCTGTAAATACCTGATAATTTAGGCTGGTGATCAAAGGTAACTAGATGTGATCATCATCACTGTGCTATTGGCTACAAGCACTGATGCACCTTCCCCATGCCAGGCTGATAGATTGCTAAGGTTTAGTACATCTTTGACTGAAAATTTAGACCTACCTGTTGTTACTTGTGTTCATGTTCTTTTTTCTCCAAATGTTTTATTGCAGTGTATTTATTTGACCTTGATTGAACATGCTTTTGTGAATATTCAAGAACACAAAAAACTCCAAAAAAATGGCAAAGCACCACATCTTCATGCCAATGAAGGGTGTTGGGGCACATGACCTCTGAGGAGAGGCTGGGGGAACTGGGCTTATTTAGTCTGGAGATGAGAAGACTGAGGAGGGATTTAACAGCAGCCTTCGACTACCTGAAGTGTTGTTACAGAGAGGCTGGATCTAGACTGTTCTCAGTAGTGGCAGATGTCAGAACAAGAAACAGTGGTCTCAAGCTGCAGCAAGAGAAATTTAGGGTAGATATCAGGAAAAAAATTCTCACCAGGAGGGTGGTAAAGCACTGGAGCAAGTTACCCAGCAAGGCTGGATCCAGACATGCAGGCATGTCTTTGCAACCCTACCTCTTTGCAGCCCCACAAACTCCATGAGTTGCATGTTGATTTGTGCACAGTGCTGCTTATTTGCAGTGCCAGGGCAAAATTCACTACCAGGATTTCCCGATAGCAATAAAAAAAGAAACCTGAAAAAAGCAGCGCAAACCACACCAGTGTGGAGTGCACCAAGACAAATGCAGAGATGGGGAGGGCAGGTCGCTCAGGGCTGCCTTCTTTCCCATCTCAAGGCACGCCGTGCCCCAGGCAGCTAGGGAGCAGCTTGCTGGGGGTGCAGGTGTCTCAGCTCAGGGGCTCCGTAGTGTGCAGAGACAGGTTAGCAGGCAGCCTTGGGCTGTCTGCTTCCCTGTCTCCACGTCCCACTCCCCAGCTGGGAGGTGAGCACAGGCCTGCCAGCTAACCGTGCACTGAGGCACCCTGTTCCCCAGCCAGCTACCCACCACTTTCTCCCCTCATACCACATGATGCGATGGAGTCCCCATGCTGAGGCATGTGGATACAGGGGAGCAGGCAGCCCTGCTCCCCTGTCTCAAGACACAGTGCACCCCAGGCAGCTGCTCTGCAGCTGCCTGAAGTCAGTGTGCCTCAGTGCAGGGGCTCCACAGTGGAGCCCCCATGCGGAGACACAAGGAGACAGGGGAGCAGCCAACCCAGGGAGCGCCTGGCTTGCACATAGGGTGCCTCAGTGTAGGGGCTGTGCAGTGTGTAGAGATGTGGGAGCAGGCAGGCCTTGGCTTTGATAATCTAGTTAGGGATTGTCGTGCTTTGAGCAGAGGGTAAACTAGATGACTTCCTGAGGTCCCTTCCAACCCTCATTTTCTATTAACCTATGGTTCTATGATGCGATTCCTGTGCTTCTTCTTCACAGAGAACTCGATCATCCCAACCTCTGCAAATTCGTCGGAGGTTGTGTAGAGGTGCCAAACATTGCAATTGTGACAGAATACTGTCCAAAAGGGAGTCTGAATGATGTTCTGCTCAATGAAGACATCCCTCTAAACTGGGGCTTCAGGTAAAAACAAGACTTTGGAAAAGATAAGCGACACAAGTAGCACTGCTAGGTGACACTTTCTGTTTCAGATAGAGTGCCAATTATAGATAAAGTCATGGAGTACATGAGTCTGTGATGTGTTGTAGATCAGAAGATACCACTCTTCTGCAAAAGAAAGAGAAAGGAAAGCCCATTGATCCTTGCTCTGACCTATCTCAGGGATATCCTTATATTCCACATTACTTCTGCCGAGCCCAAGTCTTTTCATTGCATCTCTGTTTATGGTGTGCTGCCATTTGAAGTCTTGGATCCCACATAGCTTCCTTTCTTTCACTGATGTCATATAGACTTATTACACTCTGATGTTCTATTGACTTAAACTGTGTAAAAGAGCAACACAGGTCCAACACTGAAAGGATTATTGTAAGCATTATTAGTTACCTGTAAAAAGACACATGTACACAGAAGAGGCTCAAAGGATTTCAAAGGAATACAGAAAAAAAACAACCTCTTTGTTTTAACCATTTATTTTATAAATACATACTGCCCCTTATTCCCACTAGCTGTGCATTCTCTTTGCTTTGCTTCAGGGCAACAGCAAAAAATCTCTTTAAAAATAGCTGTTCCATACTAAATAAGGAAGTTTAGAAATCTGCTCCTCTTCTGCATGTCTGTAGCCAGAGGTTAATCATACAAGCTACTGAGAAAACCTGCAAGAACATGAAAACTTCTATCATGTGCTGAGTACCATGTGTTCCATCTGGCATATCACCTAAGGGGAAACTGGGGACATTCAGCAACTCACAGGAGTCCTTACTTTGGCACCTTGCAGAATTGAGCCCTGGGGGCCTGGATTGAAAGGCTACTTAAGTCATAAAATCTTCCATTGACTTCAATAGGTTTTTAACAGATCCCTCACTGAGGATTTGGTTCACAAGAACACTAGTTTGTTAATAGTGACTTTGTGCCTTTCAGGTTTTCCTTTGCTGCAGACATTGCTCACGGAATGGCATATCTTCACCAACATAAAATGTATCATGGACGGTTGAAGTCCAGTAATTGTGTGATTGATGACCGATGGGTTTGTAAGATCGCAGGTAAAGAGAAGGGATGGAATTTGCAATCTGTCCAGTAAACCAATTATACACTGCTCCAGCAGTACTGCAATCTGGCATTTCAGATGGGAATACTAACTGAAACAGCCTATATTACTAGTAAACTATGGTACAGCAAACCCATTATATTATCTTGTCCTCCCATTGAATGTGTGCCCCTCTTGCATATACCATATCCCATGAGAGATGGAGTCAGACATCATCAGATTTGGCAAAATCCACCTCGTCTTCTATTTGATTCATAAGGAAACCTCATTACAGACATCAGTATGAAACACTAAAAGATGTTTGATGACTGGTAAACCTGAAGACACTTTAATAGGGAAAGGTAAAAGAAAACTAGGGACAAGCTGATGAATTCTCCCTCCCTTACACCAACACAACCAGTCTTGCTTCTATGAGAGCCTGCCAGTTTCAGTGGTGTTGGCCAGTGTAAGATACAGGATAGTTTGACTTACAGAACTCTGGAGACTTTAACTGATCACAGTGTACTTGATCTCAGTGGTTTCAGACAACAGCTTTGCCACTTTCTTGCTAAGGATAAAACTTGGGTTGTGGTCTAAAAAAATGAGACTACTGGAATATCCTGATTAGAGATGGGTCTGAACCAAAAACCTTACCCACCCCCACTCCCAATTTTAATAGTGTTTGTTTCTAGAAAATGGAAGTAAAAGTATTTTTTCTCATGTTGTTGTCTGAGATTACTCTATGGCTGAGTGTGGGCTCCTCATCCCAATTCAGGGTCAGATCCAGGGGTCCAGTTGAGCTTTATACCATACAGAACAGAGGGTTGGCTCCAAAAGTAGTGTTAAAGTTACTGTACATTCCCTGCCCCGGTATCCCACATTTTACCTTTATATTCCCCTAATCCTGGGGCCAGTATGTGTAAGTACAGTACCCCATTTCTGCTGGCTTCTAATTGCTTCAAAAAACTAAAACTATACCTGGACATCTTCAACATGGCCTGCAAGGAGGTGGGTGCTGCAAAAGACTGTAACACTGGTTCTGTCTTGCACTGAAATGATGCTGCCGTGGTTGAATAGACTGGTTTTTGGGCCAGTATTCAATGTGAAGTAAATCAAAAGGCTCAGTTATACTATCTGAGTAATCTCACCCAACATTTGCTCTCCAGTTCCAGCATTCACAACTACATTTGAATAGAAGCACCTCCCCCGCCCACCAAACTCTTTAGGTTGAAACTGGGATGGCTTTACTTCCACTATAAACTCAATAATGTTGCAACTTAGTAATACAGGTGTTTCAGGAAAGAACATAATCTTTACTGAGAACTTGCTTCTTTCTTGTGTGACAGACTATGGATTGCAGTCTTACAGGAAAGAAGATTCCTCTGGGGGCTCTAGTTCATATCAGCAGGATTTGATACAGATTTATTTGCCACCCGAGATGCATTCACTGTTGAACTTTGAACCTACTCCTATGGCAGATGTGTACAGGTGACGATAAACTTTTCATGTGTCTTTCTTTGTGATCAAATATCCTTTGTTATTAATTAGGCTGAACTGACTTCCAACATTATATCAGAGAAGAATTTGATTGATTGTGATTAAAAGTTGACTGATTCACATTTGGAGAATAATTTAGCTATTAAGGGGACCACTACTTGAAGATAGGAAGTAAAATTCTGGAGCTCATTGAAGCTGATGTAAATCCAGGGTAATGTTTCTGATATTTTTGCACTAGTGCAAGTGCAATCAAAAGATAGATCTTAAAGCTATTCTCTTTTTAACAGTATTGTTTCTTTTGTGTTTCTTCTGTTGAGAAAATATTACAGTAAAAGCTTTGTTATCCGGCACCCATGGTCATCCGGCTTACTTTACAAGCTGGCATGGCAGTTAATAGAACGTGCTGGCTTGTAAGGTGCCAGTTAATGGAGCTTTTACTGTACTTAGTTCAGAGTGGGTGCACTTTACTATGGAGCTGACTGAATTGCTGTGCAGTAAAGTGTCACCATCTACATATGTTCTTGCATTAGGGCACAGTAAATTAATTAACTCCACTGTAGGGACAGTTACTATGCTACAGCAGATAGCACTTACACGCACTACAGTGCACATGTAGACTGTCACCAGAGCTGGCTGGGGCGCGAGGGTTCTGCAGTGTGGGGGCTGCCTACTGGCTAACCCCACACTATAGCATCCTTATGCCTTGGTTAGCCCCTCTGCAGCATGTTTTGCTGGGGTGAAGCTGACCCCCCAAGTCTCCTGCTAGCTTGGGTCTGCTTCACCTTGGCTCAACATGCTGCAGTCCTGAGACCACATTTAAACACTGCACCTGGGAACAATAAGCTCTGGTTCGAACTGTGCCAGAGTTTATTGCTATGTGCTAATTGCACGTGTAGATGTACCCAGTAATATTAAAATGGTTTAAATAGGGTACATTTACACATGCACTTTACTTTGGAGTTGATTAATTAGCTCCACAGTAAAATATCCCGTGTGCCAGTATTAGGGTGCAGTAAATTAATTAACTCCACTGTAGGACAGTATAGTCTGGGAGAAATACTATCCTACAGCAGCTCAAATGCACATGTAGACTGTGACCCAGGCCTACCATCTAGCGCTGCACTGTAGCACCCTCGTCCCCCAGCCAGCCTTTCTACAGTCCTCTGCTGCTACCCAGGGCTGAACCCCCAGACCCTCTGCCAGGCCAGGGCTTCTTCACACCTGGTCAAATAGCTGTGGTCCTGGGTGCTCATGAAGACACTACACCCGGGAAGCAGCTAACTCCAATGTAAACTGCGCCAGAGTTTATTCAGGCACATGTGTAGATGCACCCAGGGAGCAGATTTCCAGTTTGTCACACAACTGATTCAGAATATATTTTTATGCAGAAGGAATAACCATAATATAGAGGAAATGAAAAACTTTTTCCTATTTCTTTCTGAGCACATGGTAATTGCTTATTTGTCAAGTGGGTTCTGTTTGTCAGGTTCTGCTAAAATTGTGTTCTGCTATGTTTTCTGTTCAACACACAGAGGAGATTACTAAGATGATTGAGAAAAAAGAGAGTCTTGTGATTATAAGGACCCTGACTAGGATTCCAAAAATATAGTGTCATTTCTTGGCTCTCCCCAAGATTTCTGGTTTGTTTTTAGGCAAGTCACTTTTTCTTGTTGTGCCTCTGGGGTCATGTCTACATGTCGCCCCATAGCAACATAGCAATCATGTGGGTCTACACGTTATCGCAAGCTATGTCGCCGTAGTGGCGAAATTTAATTGTGCACTGCACACCCAGCACAGTAATCATCTGTACCATGCTGTGCTTTAGTACTTCCAAAAGGAAGTACTAAAGCACAGCACTGTAGCAATGTCACTCTACAGCGATGTGTAGACACACCCTATATCTCCTTTAGGGACAACTTTTTTTATCATATAATCTTTGTGGCAGGAATTTTCTCTTACTTTGTCTCAGCACCCTGGTTGTAGTTGGAGCCTCCTGGTACTAATGAAATACAAATAATAAGTGGTTGAAGCTAATGGGGCAATTAGGTCTGCAGTATCTTCAGAAAGCAGGTGAGATTTTGTTTTGGGCTCCATCTGTTCAAATGCAGACAGGGCTTTTTAACTATTGGTACATTTGTAAAAAAATAACAGCCAAAATCACATTGGGAGTGGCCAAAATAATTGTTAAGCTGTCCAAACTATGTATTAATTAAATGTAAAATAAAACTATGGTGAAAGGAATTATAAAACTAATGTTTGCCTCAAAGCCTAGTTTTCCTTTGGCTAGGTTGTCAGTGACTAAGTCTAATTGCCTTTCAATTACTGTTTTTAGTCTTTTTAAAAATAAATTAGTTGCTAATATAAGGAAACTTTGATTAATCCTTCCCCTATTTTCACTTAACACCTAGCAAAATGACAAATTTGGTAGAAAAGCTTTTTATTTTATATATACATACTAGATTTCTAGATTGTATTATCTTTCAGTGAATAAAACATAACTTGGGCTTATATCTGCAGGGACCCAGCTGGTGGACCTCAGGCTTTCCAGAAAGTTTAGTTCCCAGATATTAGTGAAAATCCTACTCGGTGCCTATCCTCATGTCAAAGCATCTTAATACCTTGAAGAATCTGGTCCAAAATGGCATGGACTTTTTGTGTTTGAACCTAGCTATGCTGTTCTGTTTCTGTCCTAAGCCTGAGGGTAGAGGATTTGATGGATCTAGCTTTAGTTCTCCTAAACCATATGGTGCTCTGCCCAAGCTGTTTTTCAGCACTCTTATGCATTTATTTTGTCATTGCCATGTATCAAAAAGCATCACACTTGCCAGTAGTGTCTCCTTGGTTTCCATACTTTCTTCTTGTTCCCCTTGCAAGGCAAAACACGTAGTTGTAGTGCAAGAAAGTTCCTGAAAAAGAGATGGCACCTGTATTATTGCACAGGCTGTCCTACGTTCACTAATGACTGGCACCTACTTTGCAACAGAACTGGTGCTTGTCTGTATAAACAGATGCTAAGCCATCCCAACATATGAGCATAGGTAATGCTGGCCAAAATACATTGGACATGGTCTGGAAATCCTAGGTAAGGTAACTATCCTGGCATAATCTGTGGCTTTCTGCAACCTTATTTGCCTTATGGTGTAGGTTTTAGGAGTGCCTGACATTTCTCTTGGGTGGAACTCAAATCCAGAAGTCACCGTTTTTAAAAGTGAGTCATGAATTATGGGACATTTTTGCAAGGCACAAAGGTGCCCTGCTCCTAGAAGGGAGGAAATTGCCTGGGGGAAAAGCCCAAAGAGAGAGACAGAAGCCCAGGTGCAGGTTACCAGGACAACAAGCCGGAGGGTAAATTAGCCTGCACCTGCACCTGGTCAGCTGACCAGAAGGGTCAAGGCTTTGGGCCCATATAAACCCCAGGACCGGGCCCAGGGAAGGCTGTTCCCTACCAGCAGTCTAGGGGAAAGGAGCTCTCCCAGAGCAAGCAAAGGGGAGAGGCCTGACTGCAGTAGCAGCTTCCGATACTATTAAGGGACGGAGCATTCTCCGGTAGGGTTTGAATGAGGTTATAGCCGAGTGGCTTGAATTTATGTTACAGCCCAGGAGCTTGTGTTTTGTTTACTGTTGTATAAGACTGGTGGTTTGGGTGAGGCTATTAGGGGATGGAGGAGGCCTCATAGGGGGCCCACAGCAGTGTGTGGACCCTGGCGCCAGAGAGGGCACAGCATTTGGGGTGCACAGACCCCGGTGCCAGAGAGGGCGTAGCACTTTGCAGAGCTGCGGAGAGCCCAAGCACCAGTGAGGCACCAAGCGAGACAGGGCTGCGGAAAGCCCGGGGAGGACAAGGGGGCCAAATTGCAACAAGGCCCAGACCAAACAACGTTGGTACCATCTGCGAGGCTTGGGGTGTAGTAAAGGGATGGTTGGAGCCATGCATAGCCCATAAGGCTAGGGTGCCCTGAAACACCCGTTGTGACGTCTATCTTGAAGCAGGACCCACCAGGGGTCCAGAAACCCACAGGGTCCAGAGAATCAATCAAGACCATGTCCAAGAGGACTGAAAGGTAGTCTCCCTATCAATCATTCGATCAAAGACGTGGCAGGTGAGAATAGAGGGTGCCCATTGGGTCAACTTGGCATGGTAAGGGGGTCTTGGGGAGATCACAGCCATCCTGTAGGACCCCAACCCGTGACAGACATAACTCAAAAAGCCCTGAATTTCAAGGAGAGGTGTTCAGTCCTTTCCTAAAGTACCTTGAATTTGGGACTGTCGCAGAGCACTTAGGTGCCCTGCGCCTGAAAACAGAAACGGCTCAAGAGAGTCTCCTAGCAGTGAGAAGGGGGAGGCGCAGCTGCCAGTCACCAGGGCAACACAGGTGCTGGTTGCTGGGGCAACCAGCGAAACCTGCTGACAGGAAGGGGCAGAGCTTAGCCCTTCTTAAGCCCAGGCAGGAGGCCAGGAGGGCAGTTCCCCTCTGGCAGCCAAGGAGGAGGGAGCTTGGCCAGTGCGGAGAGAGGGGAGAGGATTGACTGCATGAGCATCTCTTGGTTGCTGCCATGGGTTGGAGTATTTTCCCGGTAGAGATCGAATATTGTTCTGACCGGACGGTTTAGTTTTACGTTATAGCCCAGGGGCTTTGTGTTTTGTGTTTACTGTTTGACCGAAGGATCGGGTGAGGCTATTAGGGGTTGGAGGAGGCCTCATAGGGACTCCATGGTAGCGTGGGAGTCCTGGCGCCAGAGAGGGCACAGCATCTTGGGGGTGCATTTGGCCCCAGCCCAGAGTGAAGGGGGCAGTGCGGAGCCCCCGAGTGAGAGGGGGGCCGTGAAGAGCCCCAGCGAAGTAAAGGAGAGGGCCAAATCACAGCAAGGCCCAGGTCAAAAATTCTGTCAGCACCATCTGCGAGGCATGGGCTGCGGTGTAGGGGAGGAAAAGGAGCCACAGATGGCACCCCCTGGCACCAGGGCATATAAAGTGGGTAGCCTCCCACTAATTACATCACTCAACCAATTAAGATCAAGGCATGGCAGGAAAGTAAGCAGGCAGCTGGCCCTTAACAGCAGGGCGGAGTCACCACTAGAAAGACTCCCATAGCGATACTCCTATCACAGGGACCTAAAAATTAGAGCACCCAAAATCAATACTAACTTTTAGAAAATTTGTCTTGACTGACTAAGGTGACATAAATCTAGAGGTCACTCACCACTGTGGTATCTGAACTCATGGCAGTTTCCTTTTAGAGTGCCTACTCCTGTTCTGCCATTCTCCCTCTGGCAAATCAAGATGCCTGCACATAAAAATAGGAAGCATTACAGAAGATCCTTGGAAGGTCTAGTGACATTGGAATGGGGAAATGGGCATTTAGTGAGGAATAGGGAGTAGGGTTATTCAAGAATCCTTGCATTTTAGATGCAAAGCCTGCTCTCAGTCACAGTTCCCTCCAGTTTTGCTTCTCTGTATTTTTTATTTATACAGACACCAAAGCACCTGGGTCCAACTGACATTGTTTAGCTCCCCTTAAGAATTTTATTTTTCTTCCCAGCATGTACTAGCATAGCTGCTGGCACTGCAGAGGCAGGGAGGGCATTCTGGAATCACTGGAGTTTTGCTTCAGTTACCATCTAATTGCTCTCCTTAAAAATCTCCTTGGTTTTCTTGTTGTCATGTGATCCAGAAATGGCTCCCCTCCTTGCAGGCAATCAGTGTATAAAACCACACTAGATTAATTATGATGCTATTCAGTACATTACATATCCCCTATGGACTATATCCATGCTCTTCAACTGATAGCATAGATAATCTGCCCATTTAAGAAGCAGGTCAGATCTGTTGCTGGTCAGAAAATTGTTGCGGTCAAGTTCTTTAACAAAAAGTCAAGGGGAAGAAAATATACGTAAATCTATCCTGTTCCTCAGATGATGTACTTTGCTGTTTCTGTTTCACATGCTTTTCTGTAATTTTACAGTTATGCCATCATTTTATTAGAGATTGCAACAAGAAATGACCCTGTGCCGGTAAGAGCTCTTCTGTTTTTTGAGGTTTTTTCCTAATAATTTTAATCCTGCTTCTTTTGAAGTTATTAACAAAACTCTGATAGAAACTCTGATAGACTCCAGAGGGAATTTATTGTACTTTATTCACAAGGACCAAACGCCTCAGAGCTTACTCAGGGCCAGATTTTTAGCTGGCTCCAATGGAGCCATATTACTAATGATTCTTCCTAATTCCAGAAGCTCCCAGGACTTCCAAGAGGAATCCAGGGGAAAAGACTATGGTTTGGATTCATTACTTCTTCTGGGGAAGCTCTCTGAGGCTAGGGCTATGACCACGTATGCCATTCCCAGGCCTGTTCCTCACCTGGCTGTACCTTCCCTGGTCTGTCCTGTTTCCATAGAACCACAAAGCACCTTGACTGTGTGTGTTAGGGGTCAGGAAACTGCATTGGCATAGCTGCTGAGCCGTTATCCATGGGGGTGGTGTTGTCTATGAATTGATCCCCCATATAAATGGTCAGTGCAAAAGCACCAGCATAAAGAATGTGCTTCAAAATTGATAGCAGTTGCCATAAAGACAGAATGTGTCATTGCTCTGATCCTATGGCATGCATTACTTAAAATAGATCTAGCAACTTGAATTTAGGACTGTATTTCTCCAGTGGTTAATAGTGCTGTCCATCCAGTTTCATAAAGGGCTCTGAGTATCTGGTTCCATCTATTTTTTTTTTCATTCCTTTCCAAAGCTGTTCACCTGCAATGCAGGCTGAGCTCAAATCCTTTCAGCTGAGTGAGCAGTTGGAGACAGAGCCATCTGGGTTAGAATGAGCCATTCAGGCCTTTTATGTGCTTACACATGAAAGCATTGATCTGGACTAATCCCAACAGAGAAAAATATGAAGGCTCCTATGTTGGAAGTGATGGGGCAGAATATGTTGCAGACGTATGACAATAGTGGGGTACATTCAACATAACATACAAAAAAGTGCCAATAAATCTCTTTCATTGATTCGCTGCTTTACAATATTATGATTGATTTATTTACAGTTTTTGTCCCCCTTTGTTCTCTTCTTTCAATGTTATTAAATACTGCCTTCTAGAAGGATGAATCTCATTCAGTAGAGCATTCTTGGTGCCCACCTCTGACAGAATTGATTTCAGGGAAGTCTGACAATTCCTGCCCATGCCCTACAGACTATGTGGAGGTAAATAACACAATATACTATTGCACACAAACATCGTTATTATGGTGAATTGAAGGCTGTAGGGATTTGACAGTGATTTCAATGCAGTAAGAAACCCAGGAAATGCAGAGTTAAGATTTTACATCTTAAGCAAGGCACCATAAAATGCTTGATAGCTTTAATATTCATAACAGAGCAGCCATTATTCCAAAAAATGGGAAGTTTCAGTTTGTCCCAAAAAGTTTAAGTGCAGTAAATGATGTTTTTAATTTTCAGTCGATGGAATGTTATGGCTTTTAATTTTATTATGAAGTGGCAATTTGATATACATATTTAATATTAGAGATGCTTTATGATTAGCATTTGAAAGCCAGTTGTCAATAAGCTGAAGTTTGCCTCTCAAGCAATCCCTGTTTTATTTTTTTTGATGAGATAAAAGAGCTGATTCTTTCACGTAAACCTGTGCAGTATTGTCCTAAGTGTAACCAAAGGTATATTTTTAAAGCAAGTTAGTTTAATTAAGGGAGTTTGTATTCAGCCAGTCTGATTTAGGTTAAGAATGCTTTGTATCAGCTTGGCTCAGTTCAATTCCTTAACTACTTAAATTAAACCGGTCTCCTTTTAGATTGAAATGAGTTAAACCAGGTCTTACTCTGGTTTCATTAAACTGATTTTGAAAGACAGCTGAATTAACCCCAGGCAACTTTTGCGAATAGCAAACCCAAAGGCCACTTTGTCTGACTCTAGCAGTGCAACGTGGTAAGGTAAAAGGATTGGGTCCCCACATTTTAAAAGTATTGAACCAAAGGAAAACAGGCAACACTAGAGCATTCTGGGTTTCCCCCCAGCAGCACTTCATTAACTAATGCCAGTGAAGTACAAGGGACAGAATAAATCAGTCAGTATGATTTGATATAGGTATGAACATAGACATGGGAAAGATCATAGAATCATAGAAGTAGGGTCAGAAGATACCTTATAGATTTCCAAGTCCGACCTCCCGACTGGGCGGGAGAAAAAAACTGGACTCAAATGAGTCCAGCCAGGTAGGCATCAAGCCTCTTTTTAAAGTTCGCCAGGGTAGGAGCCAGCACCACTTCCCTTTGAAGTTGGTTCCAGCTCCTAGCCGCCCTGACTGTGAAGTAGTTCTTGCGGATGTCTAATCTAAACCTACTCTCCAATAATTTGTGTCCATTGTTCCTTGTCATGCCAGGGGGCGCTAGGGGAAACAGTGTGTCCCCCAAACCCTTCTGGTCCCCCTTAGTGAGTTTATAGATGGTCACCAGGTCCCCCCTCAGCCTTCTCTTGTGAAGGCCAAACAGGTTTAGGTCCTACAGTCTTTCAATGTAGGGTCTGCCCTGTTGTCCCTGGATCATGCGGGTGGCCCTCCTCTGGACCCTTTCAATGTTGTCCACATCCCTCCTGAAATGGGGTGCACAGATCTGGTATCATGGTTGCAAATGGCAGCAAAGACAACCCAAGAAGCAGTGCTTGATAGAAAGATTTATCCCTACCTTGACTGACAAATGACTTATTTGCTTTATCTCCCCCTGCCATTTCTCCAGCTAATCAGAAGGTGCAGGATAAACAACCCAGTCCAAAGACCAACATTTGAGCAGGTCAAGAAGATGTTGTACAAGATGAATCCTAACAAAGTTAGCCCTGTTGACATGATGATGACCCTGGTAAGCACAGTAGATTTCTAATCAAATGAGAAGGCAACTCAAGCAAGAAACTGAGGCCAGCTTTCCCTGCCACTCACTGGGGACTGTCTTGCCCTTTGATGTTGCACCCTTTGTTTGCCAAAAGGAAAACATCCACTAATTCACATCTAGTAGGTTAACTGCAGTTTGAGCTTCAGTGGAAGCTATGCTTAAGTTGAAGTCCAGGTCCCATTGTGACTCTGTTCCTGTCGGCAGTCATAACTTTTGCAGATTCATTTAAGGATGAACATTTTTAAGTCCAGAGCCCACAATTTAATCCCTCACAAGCTGCATGCAGATTGCAGGCTGCTGGTTGGACAGCCCTGATTTCTAAGGTGCAAATCTACCTTGCCTTCTGCTTGAGTTCAGACTAACATGACTAACTATAGGCTTTGAATGTCTGGGATAAATCTGCCTTGAGCGGTGGTCTGATTGCTTGCTAGTGGCAGTCTAAAGATAGAAGTTAATGCATAGAACCATCAGAAAAAATATGGGTGAAAGGTTGACCTTTGTCCAGCTGCATGCTTTCAAACTGAAATCAATGATATGTTAAAGCTGTTTATTTTTGTAGATATGAGGAACTCAGTGAATGGATTATATTGTCCAATTCTCTGTTTGTGCTGCTTAGATGGAGAAATACAGCAAACACCTGGAAGTCTTAGTTGCAGAAAGAACCCAGGACTTAATGCATGAAAAACAGAAAACTGATTGTTTGTTGCATAGTAAGTTGCTGAAAAGTATTCTGCATAGTAAAATTTAAATTCTTTGCTTTCTTAATGACAAACAGTGAAATAATCCACCTTTTTAGGATAACAGGTTCATAGGCAAGTAGGGCTGGAAGAGACCTCACAAGTTCCACTAGTTTAGTCTGCTGCTCAAGGCAGGATAACTAAGCCATCCCTGCCAAGAGTCTGTCTAATCTGCTTTTGAAGTTTCCAAGCCTGGAAATTCCACAGCTTGTCTAGGTAACTTGTTCCAATGCCTGATCCCCTTCATCATTTTTTATAGGTCTTCCTTTAATATATTTCCTCCATGCAAGGTATGATAGACATTTATCATTTGTTTTCATTTTTCCCTCAAATCATTCCTTTCCCATTGAATTGCTAAGATGTTTCATCTTCCTCTGGGTCTGAGGCCTTCTTGGTTTTATGGAAATGTCATTTTGCTTGGCTCTAAAAAGGCTGGAGAATCTTGGAGAACTAATACAAGGGTGATGTCATTTCCTGACAGATTTTTCACTATGGAATTTTACAAGAGGAAAGAGATGAAGGGACAGACAGAGACTAGAGAAGAGGGAAATAAGGAGGCACAGAGAGAAAGGAGAGGTTGTGGGTGAAGAGAACTGCAAGGGAAATGCACAGAAGAGACAGCTCATAGGAAAGAAAACGAGAGAGGAGAGGTAAAGAAAGCAGAAGTGAGAGATAAGAGCCACAGTGTTTGTATCTAGATTCCCTAGTTCTTTTTCCCTTGAGGCTTCTGCCCCAACATCAAAGCATTGTACAGTTATTCATGTTTATTTTGCATTCTGTATCTAACAGGAAAAATAAATCAAATTATGGTGAAGCATTTTTGTGTACTTCTCTGTTACAATATTAGTTAATGATTTCTCTTTACTCTCTAAAATAGGCATGTTACCAAAGCAAGTAGCAGATAGTTTAAGGCAAGGAAAACCTGCACAAGCCCAAAGCTACATAAGTGCCACCATCTTTTTCAGGTGAGTAGGGATGGATGTGGTCACAGATGGAATTTACCTGAACAAAGCCATATGTGCCCAAATCATATTTAGGAGCAAAATGATGTCTAAGGGGACAAGGAGCAAACGATGTAAATCATTAAGCTTTTTGTTGGAGTGAGCCCTTAATGTAGTTTTGTAAATTTTCATCTGCAGGATGCCACTGTAACTGTAAGAGGTAAAACCTCCAATCTGAGCATAGAATTTATATTACAGCTGTGACTGCTGGGAGGAATGGCATGTTTTCTCTGAAAATGCACAGATTCTACAGTTTTTACATTACATTGTCACTTCATAAATTGTAACTTCAGGGCTAACACACAGTAATATATCACTACTAGCAGTTATAATATATATATTTCTGTTCAAGGTAAAACTAAATAAAAACCTTAAGTTTTAGTAGAAAAACCTTATAGAGCAAACACATTTTGTAAACTTTATTTGACTTTCAGCATTGGACATGTACAGTGGTAAGACATAGCCCAGCAAATAATAGATCCTGCTGTGCAGTCCATGGCAAAGGATAGGGATTATGTCCATTTTTTGCCTTGTGGGCATAGCTTAAGATCAAGGACCCTGTATCCTCAAATAAACTTACATCTAGTTGTAAATTAAAACTTTCTACTTCCTTAGTCAGTGAAGCTGACTTGGAGTAATCCATTCTTTGCTACTAAGGGAATGTCTTAAAGAAGAAAATATGTCTGTAAGATCCTGTAAACTCAACAAAGACACTTCAAAACAAATAAAATGAGAAAGCAAATGAAAGGAAGAAATGGAAAATCCTAACTTCCAGTTGAGAAATTATTATCAAAAAGGAAGATGCACCATTCTATTTTTGTTTCACAAAAGCATGCCACATTCATGAATGAACAGGATTTCTTCTCCTTGCTGTGTCTTATCAGTGACATCGTTGGCTTCACTCAGCTGTCCAGCACCAGCACACCTTACCAAGTGGTGGACTTCTTAAACAAGCTCTACACTACCTTTGATGAAATTATAGACAATTATGATGTCTACAAAGTGGAAACTATAGGAGATGCATGTGAGTTCTCTGTACCAACAGTAGGAGGGGATTTTGTGAGGTAATTAGGAGAAGTCAAATTCTCAAAAGAACGTGCCAGTTGAAGAGAGGTGAAAAGCTAATTACCACTGTACAGACCAGAGGAATAAAATTGCGAGAAGTCTAAACACAGCCCTAGAAAATGCACTGTCAGTATTTTTTCATGCATAGCCATAGTATTTCATGAGGCTAAAGAAAGCTGCAGAATAGAGGAGTGGGTGGAAATGACCAGCACCTGGTGTGACCTGCCAAGTCTCTGCTGAGATGCTGAAAACTGACTAGTTTCAGCTGTTGACTTGCATTTTATAGGAATATATGACTCCAAAATCAGCCCAAGCAATCAGCTCACACACTCAGCCAAGGATGAAGCTTCTGTTCACGTCTCAAGGTCCCCATTCCTAAACCTTACCATTGTTGTCTTCTTGAGCAGGGCTCCCAGTACATACATGCCACTTCCCAGTCTGTATGAGTCTTGGCATTTCCTCTCCTGGTTCTTTAGAACCCTCCCCCTATAACTTTTCTCCCATATTGTAACTTTGTAGGTGTTGGCAGTTAATTAAATGCTACTTCTGCCCAAATCATCAGTATCTTTTGGGGACGGACTCTAACTCTTAGTAACAGAAATGAAGAAATACTCCTCTTGCTGCTAAACCAAGCAGCAGGATTACACACACCCATAAATCTAACAAACTGGGCATGTTTACATGAGATGTTTACTGTGCAGTTGACTAATTAACCGTGCAATAAACATCTCAGCAACTACATGTGTGCCCCTATTAGGGCGCACAGAACTAATAAACTCCACAGCAGGGTAGTACTTGTATTTTACTACCCTGCTCTGGAGTTTTTTCATGCACAACTCTGCATGTATGGTTTCATAGTTTCATAGTTTCTAGGGTCGGAAGGGACCTGAGTAGATCATCTAGTCTGACCCCCTGCCATGGCAGGAAAGAGTACTGGGGTCAAACGACCCCAGCAAGGTGTTCATCTAACCTCCTCTTAAAGACCTCCAGGGTAGGAGCCTGCACCACTTCTCTTGGAAGTTGGTTCCAGATCCTAGCCGCCCTAACCATGAAGTAGCGCCTCCTGATATCTAGCCTAAACCTACCCTCTGCCAGCTTGTGACCGTTATTCCTGGTCACTCCTGGCAGTGCTCGGGGGAACAGAGACTTCCCCAGTGCCTGCTGGTCCCCCCTGACTAGTTTGTAACAGGTCACTAGATCCCCCCTCAGCCTTCTCTTGTGGAGGCTGAACAGGTTCAGGTCCCGTAGCCTCTCCTCATAGGGCCTGCCCTGCTGTCCCCTGATCATGTGAGTGGCCCTCCTCTGGATCCTCTTCATGCTGTCCACATCCCTCTTGAAGTGCGGTGCCCAGAACTGGATGCAGTACTCCAACTGCGGCCTGACCAGTGCCGCATAGAGGGGGAGGATCACCTCTTTGGACCTGTTTGAGATGCATCTGTGGATGCATGACAAGGTACGGTTGGCCTTCCTGGCCACATCCCCACACTGCCGGCCCATGTTCATTTTGGCATCAATGAT